CAGCAGGGCAGGAAATTTGGTGTTAGATCACTAATGTCAACTTTTCAACACTGACCTCCCATAACAAGAGTAAAGGACAACGTAGTTCTGTTGGGTTCAGGAGCCCACTGGACTCTTTTACTATGTTTGTATAAACCAAACACACAGATGTGTCAACACAAATAAATGTTTAAGGTATTCCTTCTAATTCAGCATACATTGTATTACAAACCCCTGTTACACAAGAAAGGTTTCATGAGTTTCATGGACCGTGTATGTACGTATGGAAGCCTCCTTCCAACTTGTTCTGTCTCCAACCTAGTAGTATGTAAAAAAGTTCATACTAAATGATTCCAATTAAACAGCCACAACAATATACCTTGGACGAAAACAGACAAAACAAATATAACCCCATGATTGCAGAACAGCCTGTAGCAGGGCCTATAGCAAAATATACACCAAGAGCCAAAAGCACCCTCAGCATTGCTTTTGCACGCATTATTCATTTCTCAATCTCAGTTGTTCATATTTTGGGATGTTTTAGTATTTTTATTTGCCCTAATAGAAAAAAATTATACCTTTTAGCCTTAATGTCACATATGGAAATGAAGTGAGACAGGCCCAACCTCACCATATTCACAGCCCTCTGTCCAGTTAATAAATACCAACAACACTGGTAGGCACATTAAAATACTGGTTATGAACTGCCATTCACAATGTCTCTCCCTATTTAAGCTAAACAGTACACAGTTCCATGATCTTTATTGCACAAATATAGAAAAAGCAGACATTGAAAACCCCCATTCCACAGTGAAGTCAGCTTCCTCCCGACAATCAGCAGTACCAGACAGTGCAAAATCACTTTCTGAGATATTTTGTTATTCCATCAAATTCCACATGCAATAAGCAGCAGATGTGGGGAACAGTTTCTATTCTGGCTCTTGTAACATGGTTTGATAAGTCAATGAATAACCACGTCAACCATTCAATGGCGATACCTCAGCAAAAAGCATGCTACTGCTTCAAAAAAGTTTGGGTGCAAGTTTTTTCCTGTGTAGCGCTACAGACATTCTATGCTTTCTGCTCTTTGCCTTTGTAATAGATGTTATTACCAACACATAAATTAGTTTGGTTTTCCAATGGCACCAAAGTAAAACCTTTCCAAAGAGATTTAAAATGTAAGGATTTAAAGACATTCACCACCACAGACAGAATAAACTTCAGCAGTGTCGTTCAATGAAAGCAAGAGTCTTTCAAAAGCTTATCAGATATTCTAGTCAGCTAGGCTTTAACTAGAACCTACGCCATCTCAGCATGTGCTTGCATTAAAGAACTACAGACTTCACTTACCTTTCAGAGACAAAGGACAAAGACCCAGGCTGCTTTGCAAACAACACTCTAACCCAATCAGCTACATTTTTTGCCTAACTGGATAGAGGACTAACACATTTATGCTGTTACGGAAAAGCATAATTTACTAGAACATAAGAATAAAATACAGGTGGTCTTTCTCACTTGAGCCTTACAAAACATCAGTATACTTAGCCTTAAAATGCAATTATTTTTCCTTTCTGATAACCCATAGAACTGACAAAGCATTTGAAAGGAAAAGAGAGAAAACCAAAAAGGCTCATTAACTATATTAATATAGGGTTCAAATTATTCTGCTGGCATACCATATTGGGCACTCCAAGTTCTTCTGCATAGCTGAGAGCACATTTTGTACATCTCCAATAGCAATCACCGAGAAGTCCATCCTTCACACCCAAAAATACTCTACGGAAAAAAGAAAAAGGAGTAATGCTCTTTGTTTCTGGTCTGTTGCATCCTGTGACCATGTTTTCTCCTGTACAGCTTTTCTATAACATGCTGAACAGTATTGAGTACTTTGCTGCTATTTCTTGAGTGAGGCTTTACTGCATTGGTGGAAGGCTTACTCTGAATGTTTACAGTTAAAACCGGTCAAGTCTCTTGCAATCAAAGGGGCAAACTGAAAAGATTTACAGAAACAGCATTCAGCAGAAACTCAGCAAAGGCACAGGCAAGAATAAAAACGAAAAAAAAAAGAGCTTTCTACGTGGAAAAAGTTGTGAAGGGGACAGCAGACAAGGTTACGCAAAGGACCTGGGAACTGCCTACACGAACCAACCAGGTAAGACCCTGCAGCAAGTACCGCAAATCCCAAAAGCAAAGAGAAACCGCTTGACCTTCACGCAGCGGCAGCTCGGGAGCAGGGACGCGCCCCGCAGGGAGGCCGATCAGCAGGCCAGAGCGGAGAGAAGCGAAGCGAAGCGGCCCAGGGC